GAGAGATGAGAAGGATGCAAAATGGAAGGCCAAAAATTAAAGAAAGACTAATGGCCAAAAATTAATCCATTTGAAGGGCTAGGATTAAAAATTTATTTAACTGGCTAGGATCACTCCAAAACACAAGCAATTCAAGGGTGGAGATGAGGCTAAGAGTCTACAAAAATTTGGCTATAAATATGGATGCAAGAAATTAGAGAAAATGCATTGAAATTAGCTAAAACCAAAGGAAAGTCCTGCAAAATTTTCTTAGGAATTTCCACCTAAAATTCACCTAAATACCTTTAAGCCCCTCAAATCAACTAATTAAGTAAGGAAATCAAGCTAGGAGATCAAGAATCATCAAGAGGAAATTTTGGAACTTAGGGCGAAATTGGTGGAGAAATGAGGGAGGAAGAAATTTCTCAATCATCCAACTTTTTAAGGTTTAATTGAAGCTTAATCAAGTAAGTTAACTTCATCTACATCGTAAGAGACTTTTAATTCTTGTCAATTTGTTATTTGTGTGCTTTAATTTATGGATTTTAGCTTTAATTTTGAAAATTAGGGTTAGGGTTCTTGGTGAAGTAAAATTGGAAGAAATGAAAATAAGCTTGTAACTCATGCAATTAAGGTTGAAATATATTAATTGAACTTAAATTTGAGGTTGAAAACTAAAAAATTCATAGAGTTATTCAAGGGTACTAATTCGACTAAAAAGAGAAATTTAGGGCTTTTTGGTTCTTTGATGCAATTGATGTTTTACAGACTTAATTATGACTTAATTAGGTGTGAATTGGTGTTTGGGAATGAAAAACCTCATTTAAATTAAATAAAATTTCATGAATTTCTTAGGGTTATGTTCTGCCCAAACTTAAGATTTTAGGGTTTTGATGTCCTTCATCCAATTTATGATTTGTTAATCAATTGTAGTTAAATGAGTATAATTTGATGGTTAGGAAAGAAAAAAATCTAAGAAAATTGAGGAAAATTGCTTAAATTAGGTTAGGCCTAATTTTGACCTATCAAGGCCCAATTAGGGTATATACATGAAATTGTTCCATTGTTCCATAAATGCCAATTAAATTGATTCTTATTTTTAATGTGTAATTAATCTACTTGGAATTAAAAATTAATGATGAAATGAGAAGAAAATAATTAGGTTAGGAACAAGGAAAGTTTCGGCCCAAGATGGAGAAAAATTAAGGTTAGGTTTAAATGATTTCTAATACTTGAATTAATTGGTTTGAACTGGAGTGATGTAATGAAATGAATTAGATTAAATAATTCCATTAAAACTAAAAATTTAGCCTAAAAGACCCAAATTATGTCTTAGGCCCAATAAGGACCAAATTTGGGACTAATGCATGTAATTAACCAATTAATACCTAATTAAGTTAGTTCATGAAGTTAGAATTAAATTGAGAAGGATTAGGGTTGTAATGGATGTTAAGAATCGAGAGAAAATGGTTAGATTGGGTTAGGACATAATTCGGCCTAGTTTAGGAAAATTTAGGGTTATGGTCTATTTTATGTAATTTAATGTATAATTGCGTTTTTGGAATGATATTTAATGTGTTTAAATTATGGATGTTATATGTGTTTGAAATGTGGATGATGATGGAGCTATGTTATATGATTGGTATATTGGTGTTGGTATTAGTGATGATGGTTCAAATTATGTCATAATTGCATGTGATTCATGGAATGAAAAAAAATAAAAAAATAAAAATAAAAATAAAAGAGTTGGGTACTCATTTTGTAATGAAATGCTTACGCATGCCTAATTTCACAAAAAAATATATATATTTTAAAGTCATAAAAACGTATTTTTACATCATAATTTTCCAATAGCAATTGAAAATTTTTTTAAGGAATGTGGTTTTTATGACTTTGAGAATTTTTGTGAGGAAGGACTTCATGGATTTTTCATAAGATGATGGTAATGTTTCAAGGCCAAGTAAGTGTAGACATGCACTTTTAAAGGCTTGAGAAGGCGCATCCATAGACCGGTCCGGTACACTAGCCACATTATGGAAACCTAAGAGTACCTATGATGGGACTTGTCCAAAGAAAAAAAGAATTTTATGAAAAGCTTTTATGTCACAAAAAGAAAAGATTTAATGTGTTCATACTAATTTTTTCAATCATACATATTCATCTACATGCAAGACATGCATAAGTTAACTTATTGAGTTTTTGCCCACCCATTTTCTTATAATGTAGATAACTAAGGTACTATGGCTTACTTCTTTGTCAAGCTTATTTCCGAGGGATGCACCGGACGTAAATACCTTGGTTGGGGTTATAGCTTTCGAACTAACCTTCGTATGCTATTTTATTTTTGGTACTTGTTGTTATTTTATGTGTCTTAGGGTTAGTTAGATTGTTTTATGCTATGTTAAAAGTAATGAATAAGTAAAAAGGAAACTTCTAAAATACTATAGATAGTTAATAAGCCAATTTTATAGGCTATCACGGGGCGATGTCGACGGTGAGGTGAACATAAGAAAAATGATTGAAGTTGCCACCTAGTATTACGGTTACTAGGAAACCTAGTAACTCGGTCCGTTCGCAGTTTCGGGTAAGGGGTTTATTACGTGTAGGAAAGATCAAAAGTCACCTTACCCCGTCCTGCCTAAGGCAAGCTGCATTACATGCAAAACCGACTTGATTTCGATTTTTTACAATGAAAGATTATCTCCATTTTTCAAGCATTTAGCCATTGGTCGAGTGATTTAGGACTTGGTCGGTTAGAGACCTTATCCTCACTCTGTAATGCATGGCTAAGAAATCATGGAGGCAAAGATATGTGACTAATATGACTTAAATGACGGATATGAAAAAAAATTTAAGAATGGACAAATAGACAAACAACAAGATAGATAAGTTGGCAAAGTAGGCAAACATGTAGAAATATACGAATAAGCGATTAGGCAAAATACATAAGAATTGACGAATAGGCAAATAAGCAAAACGAGCAAAATAGCAAATTGGCAAATAAGTAAACGAGCGAATAGAAAAAATAGGCAAAATTCACAAATTCACAAATGGGTAAAATTAACAAATTAGCACGAGTGGCAAATGAGCAATTACGCAAAATAGTCAAATTGGCAAAAATTGGCTAAGTGGCAAATTGACAAATAGGCAAACAGAAAAAATCGACAAATTGATAAATAAACAAAACTAGCAAAATCGACAAATTGGCAAATCGATAAAATTGGCAAATTGATAGTTGGGAAAAAATCGACAAACAGGAAAAAATTGACAAATAGGCAAAATAGGCAAAAATCAACAAATGGGTAAAAATTGGCAAAATCGACAAAAATTGACAAATATGCCAAAAATCGATAACTTGACAAAAATAGGCTAAAATTAACGAGCGTAGTAAAAAACAAGCAAAAATCATCGACTTAGGTAAAAATAGGCTAAAATCGACATTGTATGCAAAAACAAGCAAAAATAAGTAAAAATCGGTGGCTTAGGCAAAAAAATAGGCTAAAATCGATGGCTTAGGCAAAAACAAGCTAAAATCGACAACGTAGACGAAAATAGGCTAAAATCGATAAACTCAAGCACATGTAGGCAAAACTTAACAAGAATTGGCAATTGGACCAAAAATGGAGAAAGCACAAAAATCGACGAAATTAATTACTTTGGCAAGCATAATCAATCATGTTTGACGAAAGCAGAGTTACATGACAACAATTCAAACTTTCTTGACTCAATGTTGTGTTTTTTTATAAAATCACCATACGAGATGCCTCTTTAAAATATACGTTACGAACAATAAATACCCAAATGTTCAAATTGATGCATCATTCATCATCATATCGCAAAATCCACAATGCACATCATCTCAATTCAAACAAATTACACATGAACAAATAAATCAAATTAATTATAACACATTCATTTAATTAATTATATGACACATATCAACACGAATCAAATTTAATACCTATTAGAATAAGAATAAAACAAAATAAAATAAAAAGTGAAAAAGATTACCGTAAAGAAAATGAGTTGGATCGATTCGCTTGGTCGTCTTGAAGTCGGATCCGACCTTTTCGACCTCGATGGAGATCAATACTTGGTCAACCAGGGAGGAAAGGTGGATAGAGCGATGGTCGTTGGCGAAGCATGGGAAGGCCCTTTGTGGGTGGTGGCTGCTAGTGGAAACGTTGGCGCGCTTGGGAGAGGGGTCGCCGGCTAAGCGATGTTGCACGCCGGCTCTAGAGTCTCTGGGGGCTTTGGGGGCTAATTTGGTGGCTTGTTGGTAATGGTTGCAAGGTTGTAAAGGCTACTCGTTGGTGGTCGTTTTGGGTCTAGTTTTTGGGCGGCTTTGGGATGTGTTTTAGTGGCTATCTCAAAGCTGGATTGGTGATGTTTTTTGGGGCATTTTGGTGATTTAAATGGGTTGTCCAAAGGGGTTGCTCTGTAAGGGCTTTTGGAGGTCGTTGGTAATGGTTATAAGGTTGTAAAGGTTCGTTGTTGGTGGTCGTGTTGGGTCTGATTTTTGGGCGGTTTTGGAACATTTATTGGGGGTGTTTGTAGGCTATCTCAAATTTGGATTAGTAATATTTTTTAGGGTATTTTGGTGATTCAAATGGGCTATCCGACGAGGTTGCTTTGTAAGGGCTTTTAGGGGCTATTGGTAATGGTTATCCCCACTTTTTCGTGAAGGATTTACGCAGACTGTTCAACCAAGATTTTGACCATGAGAATGATCTAATCTTGAATTGATGTCTTCATAAGAATTATAGGCCTAATGTTATCTTTCCAATGCAACTGGTCTTTCATCAATTGGACTCTTACACCCCAAGATATGGGTTCCGAACCGAAAAGGCCCTACTCGCTAAAAAAATCTATCGGACTGATTCTGAATTATAGCCCCATTTTGACTTTCAAATATTCTGAATTAGGCTTTTAAATATTCATAATATTTTTAGCTCAATCTATTAACTTTTTAAAGAGCCTAAGATCACCGAATTTGAATGTCTCGTAGCCCAAGTTATAAGCAAAATATGAAACAAGTGTTAGGACCGAGTAGCTCGTGGCGTGTTGGGTTGGGTAAGGGGGTTGTGGCGTGTTGCTTAGTGCGGGATGAAGACTTGTGTGGGAAGCAACATGAGGCTAGTGAGAGGGCATGTGTGGGCGGTAGGGTGAGGCCGGTGAGAGGGGCTAAGGGCGTTGGTGTGAGGGAAAGAGAGGCGGTTGAAAATGGGTGAAGAGTTTATGATATGGAATAGAGTCGCTTGTGGCATTAAAGAGGGTTGTTATGGGGGTTGCTTATGGCGTGAGAGAGGAGCCGGGGCACGCAAAAGAGCTAAAGGTATGGGTTGGAATGGCTTATCAAAGGAAGGGGGCTGTTATGGAAAGGTTTCGAGTGAGAGGGAGAGTTACGATCATGGTGTATGGCGAATCGAATGTGTTTTAGGTGGGAGAGATGAATAATAACTGGTCGAGGATGGGTGTGGGGGGAAAATAGGTGTTTGTATGGTGGTTATGGTAGTTTTTTTCAAGGAAAGAAAAGGAGGAAAGGGGCTGCCATGAAGGAACTTTTCGGGTGAGGAAAAAAGGAGGGTAATGTCGGTTGGAAGGGTTTTTCTTACGAAGGTGGTGGTGAATAGTAATCGCCCTTTGGGGGGAGAAAAAGGGTGCTTTATACTAGGTTTTTAGGGCTTTTTTTTGGCTAAAACTCTTTTTGGTCCTTTATTTTACAAACCCACTTTATTTTGGTTCCTCCTCTTTTCTTTTTTAATTGTACACCCCAATTGCATTATTTTTTACTTCCTTTTCTTTTCTTCTTTTCTATTTTTCTTTTTTTTTTGTTTTTACTTTTTTTTACTCAAAATTGAGTGTTAACAGTTGCCCTTTCTTTACAAAGCTTATGACGCCAAGCCATTGAAAATTTCACTTTTCTTTGGCTTTGCATAGTGAGCTTGTAAAGAAAATCATAGAAGGGTCGCGATCGATTGATAAAGTCCATTTAAAGGCCTTCTCCAAGCACAGAGTTGATGTAGGTGACTCGTCCTCGTGGTCAAACAAGTGGCTTTTCCTTGGCAATGCACCGGAGTATGAGCGATGTACCCGAAACATAAAAATTATTACCGCCAAAACATACACTTCCCTCTTGGTCGCAATCCATCTTCATTAGGATAGGTTCATGATTTCTAGGATGGATGCTTTTGTAAATTTTTCTCTATTTAATCACATGTCCTCGGATTACATCCTCCTTTTTTAGGTTCGACTAGGCTTTTGTTCATGTCGTTTGAGTGGCATTTGCTCATATGGTTAGACAAACGAGTTGTTCATTCTTTCACCCTCCCATAGTATTGCCCCCAAGTGTTTGGGCTTTTGTTAGCACGGATCAAAGATTTTGACTCATAAATCATGGAGATAGTTTTCATCGTCGCCTTTTTAATCCATCGGGAAAGACCTTAAACCTAGTTTCACAAAGAAAGCCTTCTTGTCTACCAAGCCCGAGTAAAACTCTTATCAAGTTATCACTTATCGATTTGTTGCATCATTATATATTCACCTAAATGTATTATAGATAAGTCACGGTGCCTTGTTAGCTTGTATTTATTGCACCTCGAATGTAGGTTAACAATAGTAATATTCTCAACCTTTTAGCTCCTAGGTTAGGGTGTTGCGTACATGGTATCGTAGCATAGTTTATCGAATCACATCCAAGGCATATGGAAGGTGACCTCGAAATCAGTAAGTATGTTTAATGAATGATGGTTATGATTGTTGGATGTGTATATGATGAATGTGAATGATATGATGTTATCTTGAAAAGTAAGGTTGTAAGTTAATATGATATCAATGAGCTAATGAGTGTTGTATATGTATGTAATTAAAAGAGGAAAAGATCATACCATCGAAGTAAGCTAATAATAATAAAACTAGTATTAACGTGGGGTCAAGCCGTATGTCGGGTGATCGAGAAGTAGAATTAATGGAGCTCGTTCGGGAGGTAGTAAGATATGATGGAGAGTAGCAGGAAAGACATAAATAAGCAATTACAGCAAATATCGGAAACAACTCGGCATGGTCCAAGTCGAGACACATCAACCATATAAGACCAAGATAGTACAACATTTTCAATGGTTTAATCGAAGGAATTTAGAGGTGCTCCAAATCCCAATATCACCGAAAAGTGGATTGAATCTTTAGAGCTTATTTTCAAATATGTGGATAGGAGTGATGTAGATCATGTAGCATACACCACTTTTATGCCTGGTTGTTGATGCTAGAAATTGGTGGCAAATGGTGAAAGCATCTTTTGATGAAGCGGGGCTTGCATGGAATCAATTTAAAGACCTATTTAATGAGAAATATTTTTTTAATAGTACTATAAGATCTTATAAAATCCAAGATTTCCTCCACCTAAGACAATGAGATATGTCGGCTACAGAATATATCCGTAAATTTGAACATGGTTGTCGTTATCCCACTTTTATCATCGAAAATGAAGAAAGGAAAAAGGAACATTTCCTTTATGTTCTTAGGTAGAGATAAGGAGTTTTTTTTTTAATGTCCACTCGATACCTATAAGGATATGGTAAGATGTACTTGGAGTGGAAGTAAACCGGAAAGAGTGCACTTGTGTTCCACTACCAAGTATAAGGAAAGGAGGAATTGCCCTAAACGAGTTCGGAGGATAGCCCAACAGGAAGAGGCCTTTCAATCCAAACTAGAGGAGGGATAATAAGAAAGGAAAAACAGCTATAAGGCCACAAAGGATAGAGGATCGAAGTAACCGTAAATGCCCAAAATGTAGATGCCTACATCCCGATGACTCGTTTGATGAGTACAAATGTATGCTATTTCGTTGAGACGTAAGGCATCCGGCTAATAATTGTCCAATGATGGAAATCAATTTCAAAATCAAATTGGAACCGAGAATAGCACCAATATCTAAGGCATCAAAACTATAGGAGCTTAAGACACATATACAAGAGTTTTGGATAAAGGCTATATTCAGACCTAGTTGTTCACCGTGAGGAGCCTCGATTGCTATTTGTAAAGAAAAAGGATGGGTCACTATAATTGTGTATTGATTATAAAGATTTAAACCGGGTGATCTGTTAAAAGAAGTATCCGCTCCCACGGATAGATGACTTGTTTAATCAACCGAGAGGAAGCTCGGTATTTTCTAAAATTAATCTCTAATCGGGATATCACCAATTAAAAGATCAACGAGGAGGATATAAAGAAAATGGCTTTTAGAACATGATACGAGCATTATAAATACTTAGTGATGCTATTCGACTTAACTAATGCCTTAGTCATATTTATGGATTCGATGAATCAGTATTGCACGAATACTTTGATAAGTTCATCAATATATTTATTAATGATGTCTTGATATATATTAAGAGTCATTATGAGCATAATGAGCACTTAAGAAAAGCATTGTAGAAACTACGAGAGCACAAATTATACATTAAGCTTAAAAAGTGTGCATTTTGGTTTAAACAAGTGGCATTCCTTAGGCATATTATAACCAAGGATGGGATTATGGTGGATCCCAATAAGATACGAGTAGTGTAAGAATGAAAACAACTAAATAATGTTTTTGAGATATGAAGCTTCCTTATGATCGTATGCTATTATCAAAAAGTTATAGAAGTGTACATGACAAGACAAAACAAAACAAAAACAAAACAAGAATGCATTTGTTCCAAACCTCCAAAGGATCTCTATCTATGTCATTCTTCTTGGCCGATAGAGTTGATGACATAAATATGTTCAAAATGACTAGATTGCCTCTTTGCTCGAGGTTGCAAGTTACCATATGTCATATGTCCGATGGGTAGGTAAAAGATAGTTGTGAAAATAGCTCCACCACTCACTTGGTTAATAAGAAAGAATGCCAAGTTTGAGTTGGATGATCAATGTGAACAAAGTTTCTAGGAGTTAAAGTTCAAACTCATTACGACTCTAGTATTAGCTCTTCATAAAGATAATGAAGATTTCATAGTTTATACCGATGCTTTTCGGATTGGACTAGGAGTAGTTTTAATGCAAAATGGGAAAGTGATTGCTTATGCATTTCGACAACTAAAAGACTACAAAAAGAACTATCCCACTCATGATCTTGAACTAGTTGTAGTTATCTTTACCTTAATGATTTAGAGGCATTATTTATATGGTGATCAATGTAATGTCTACACCAATCACGAAGCCTCAAGTACATTTTTACTTAAAAGGAATTAAATATGAGGTAGAGAAGGTGGCTCGAAGTGCTCGATGAGCACGACATTGTTTTCCATTACCACTGCAGGAAGGCAAATATTATAGCTAATGCATTGGGTAGGAAATCCTTAGTGGCCTTACAAATGCAGATCATATGAGATATGGAGAAACTTCGGTTAGAAGTCATACCCGGTCAAAGTAAATGGAGCTTTTTAGGTGCAATGACTATACGACCGAGATATTAAACAAAATATTAAGGAAGGGCAACTACAAGATCCAAAATTTCTTAAGATTCAATAACAAGTGATGGAAAGAAAAAAAATAAATTTTATCCTAGGTGAAGAGGGGTTTTAGTATTATTAAAGTAGATTATGTGTTCCCGATACAAAGGAGCTTAGAGATGAAATCCTAAAAGAAGCCCATACCACACCTTATACTATGCACCCTAGTGGTATAAAGATGTATCAAGACCTTAAAAAGACCTATTGGTGAAAGGCAATGAAACAGGATATCGTCGATTATATGGCAAGGTGTTTGACATATCGACGGAGTTAAAGTCGAGCACCAAAGGCCATCATAATTGTTAAAGCAATTGGATATTACCAAATGGAAGTGGGAACACATATCAATGGATTTTATATTAGGATTACCTAGATTGGATCGAGGAGCGAATGGCATATGGGTTATAGTGGATCGATTAACTAATTCGACTCACTTTCTAGCAATCAAAACAACATATTCCATGTAGTAGTATGCGGAATGATATTTAAAAGAAATAGTCGAGTTGCATGGACTTCTCATCTTAGTCATGCCGGATAGGGATCCTCGGTTCACATCATGATTTTAGAGGAGTTTACACGAAGTGATGGGGACTAAATTAAATTTTATCATTGTTTTCGACTACAAACCGATGGACAAACCGAATGGGTGAATCAAATATTAGAGGACATGGTGCGAGCATATGTGCTAGATTGGTCAACAAGTTGGGAGAAATACTTATCATTAGCTAAGTTCGCTTACA